AAATAATTAATTTTATTTTTAATATGTAAATTGATCATTTATTAAAAGAATATTAAAATTATAATTAATATACTATAACTTTAGAAAAATATATAATTAAAAGAAGAAAAATAAAATAATATATTTAGGTTTGGTCGGCGCGGCTTAATGACCCATGTATAGATTTAGAGTTGGATCGACAAATTTATTAATATTCTTTGTCTTAGGTAGAAGCATATGTAATTAAATGTAACCTTTGCCCTATTGTGAATAATTTTAGGGCTTGGGGTCCAAATGATCCACAGGTGTCTGATACTACCCGAACAAACAAAAGATTATTAAGGTGGCTATATTTATTTTTTGTATTTTCAGTTTAGTGATGGAGTTAACAGTAAAAGATCTGGCAAAACGATCTACACATGTATAATCCCAAGCGAGGGGTAAACCTTGGTTCCAAGGGATTAGCTTTGTGCTAAATTAATTTTAAATTAAATTTAAAATTTGGTTTATATGTCTGATTGTGTCCGCAAAGCATATGTCGAAATAGATTTTCTTTTCTTAAATTGTTACATTGCTGTTTTTTAAAATTTTGTAACCAAATTCAAGTAATAAACATATTTTTTAATATTATATTTCCTTACAAATTTAGCACAATATTTTTGATATTCTCAAGTTGCTGGCAATATTTATACTCTGGAATTTCATAAGTTATAAATGTATTTTTTTTTTAATTTTACTAAATTAGAGCATAAAACTTAGTATAAGGAAAGACAAAGATTTAGATTATTTGGAATTAAATAATTTTTGCATAAAATGCTAAATTGGTCATCATTACTTACTAAAAAGACAAAGACTATGAAAGAAAAACAAAATATTATAATGCAGATATCAAATATCTTTCCTTCAACAAACGATTAATCAAATAACCTTCATTCTATAGGCTAATTTAATTTTTTTGAAAATTGGGGAATTATCTAGTTTGTCATGTTCCTCTTGTTCAGGATTTTTTTGCCTTCAAAAAAAATAAGTAAATTCTAAGATCTAAAGTGTTTTCCAAATTATACAATAGGATGCATGCATACATAATTAAATAAAAAATAAAAAACTCCAATATTATACAATTCTATTTGAATTAACATTAAAAAATATATATTTGCAATAAGTTTAAAATAATTTGCAACAACTGTATATATAAATATTATATTTGCAAATAAATGAGTGAAAAAATCATTAATTCTTAATACATAACCTGAAACCCATTTTTAGAATTAATAGACCATTTTAAAATTTATCAAAACCAAAAAGTAACTTATAATGTAACTGTAATTAGTTATGTTTCAAAAGTAACTTTAACAACACTAGTAGTATTTATTAATCTTTATAGATATGTTTTAACCTATTGAAAATAAATACAATTAAAATATAAATTGTAAACAATATTTCAGCGGTATACCTTTTTATTGCAGGATTGCTTAATAAGTGGTTTATAAAATTTGAAATCATTTATTTAAGTATTAATATTATATCATGGGAGTGAGATATCCCAAATGTTCTAAGATCGAAAGAGCCATAGTAACAGGTTTCATAATATATAAAATCATTATGTACATTAGTGATCTGCATCGGTATAATTTTTCAAGCCCAGTCCGGCCCGAAATTTTTTTATAAAGTTTTGCCCGGTCCGGCCGGAATTTAAAATATATAAATTAATTTTTATAATTAATCAAAATAAACGATATATATTATTTGGCGCCTACTTTCTATAAATAAAATCACATATTTTTATTTTACATAAAAAATTGTATAAAAACATAACAAATAAATCTAGTAGCTATAACCTCAAAAAACATCTAAAGGTTATTGTCATTTTTATATTCTAATGGTATATTTTTTGTAAGAATGTACATGTCAACAGTTTTAATAGAAAAACATCATAAATTTTGGTATAGGGGAGACTACATCCAAAAAGACCAATTCAATTCTCTAAATTAATGATATTGCACATGCCAATATTTCTCAGAAACTGGTTGAAGTCATTGTGATTTAATAATTGATAGTTCAGCCAATGTCATTGGCTGATAATCCATCTTTTACCATGATGATTAAAACTATCCCCTCATACAACAATTTTTTGTCAGACACTAATGATCAAGATAGTAGTCAGAGATGCTTAGTTAGAATCACAAAAATGACTTCAACTGATAATTTTTTTGAAATAAAGGATACTAATAATAAAATCCCCTAGACGCATTTATTCTCAAAATACTGAAATGAGTAATTTTGATAATTTTTCTTATATTAAAAATATGTATATAATATACACTACCTTGCCCTCAAGTGCTAGTGTTGAGAGATTATTTAGTAAGGCGAAACTTATACTTTCAGATCGTCTCTCTAGATTGGGGATGATAATAGAAATGATTTTATTATTAAAATGCAATAAAATAAATATTACCATAAATTTTTATGTATTATATACTACAAAATTACATTATACAGGGTTTCCCATTCAAAAAAAAAAGTCTCAATCAAAAAAGGAAAAGTTTCAATCATAAAAGGAAAAGGTCCATTCAAAAAAAGGAAAAGGTTCAAGCATAAAAGGAAAATTCTCAAAAAGAAAGGAAAAGGTTCAATCAAAAGAGGAAATGTGTCAAACAAAAAAGGAAAAGGTTCAATCAAAAAAGGAAAAGTGTAAAACAAAAAAGGAAAAGTGTCAATTGAAAAAGGAAAATTCCCAAAAGGAAAAGAAAAGTGTCAATCAAAAAAGGAAAATTCTCATTCAAAAAAGGAAAATAGTAATTTTTTTTAAAAAAATTATAAATTTTTCTTAAATTTTTATTTATTTTTGTCATTCCTTCTTATTTTATTTCTAACCTTTTGCGATTTCTTTACTTTATTTGTATCTTTTCTCAATTTATTTTTCTTACTATATCTTTTCTCAATTTTATGGAAAAGTGCCAATCGAAAAAGGAAAATTCTCAAAAGGAAAGGAAAAGTGTCAATCAAAAAAGGAAAATTCTCATTCAAAAAAGGAAAATCATAATTTTTTTAAATTTTTATTTATTTTTGTTTTTCCTTCTTAATTTATATCTAAATTTTTGCGATTTCTTTACGTTTTTTTTCTTACTGATCTTTTCTCAATTTATTTCTAACTTTTTGCGATTTTCTTTACTTTTATTTTTCTTATTATATCTTTTCTTAATTTATTTTTCTTCTCATTTTTGATAATTATTTTTTAAAATTATATTTAATGTTTTTGGCAGACAATATAATTACAATTGCTAAATTAAATTAATCGTTTGGTTATAATGTACCTTTTTAAAATTAAATAAGTTTAAACTGTAATACCAAACGATATGTAAATTAATAAAATATAATCCTTTTTAAATTCTTATTTTTAAAATTATCAAAAATGAGAAAAAAAAATTGAGAAATGCTCAAAAAAATAAAGATTAAAAATGACTTAAAGAGATTGAAAAGGTTAGAAATGTATGTAAAAGATTACAATGAAAAAATCATAAAAAGAATATTGTATGTATAAAAATAAAACAGATTTATTCCTAATTTTTTTTATAAAAAGTAGCGAAGGCTTTTAAAAAATAGTAGCTAATAACGTGCTACTTTTTTTTGACAAATAGAGATAGAGGTAGTGCGTTACTTTTAAAGTAAGGTTTAACAACTCGGGATATATATGAACGACTTGTCATTATCTGAAAATCTCTGCAATTCGGATTTATTACAAGATTCGACAAATTAGTTATTCAACTTAATAAGACACTAATTTCACGGAGTTATAAAAAGAGTTCGATCTAGTTGTAACCGGTTAAATAAGATATCTTCCCATTTTTTCTTTAAAAATGGCTGACACAGTTTCTAGACGTTTATTCCACAATTGAGGAAATATTTGAGTTGGAACACAATACAAGTGTAGACTTTGTATCCTTAATTTTTTATTAGTGTAAAAAAAGTGCACATTGGAGCCAGGGTAGTTAATCTGAAGAAATATGTATAATTGACATAAATATCCTTTATAAAATAAATTATACTATTAGAGAATAAGAATATAAACAAGTGTAGACTTTGTATCCTTAATTTTTTATTAGTGTAAAAAAAGTGCACATTGGAGCCAGGGTAGTTAATCTGAAGAAATATGTATAATTGACATAATATCCTTTATAAAATAAATTATACTATTAGAGAATAAGAATATAAATTAACATATCTTGATTGATTCAATATTAATAAAATTAACAATCTTGACTGAAAATTTAACAACGAAAATTTAAAATAAAAATGAAGGAATTTGTTCGTTGATCTGACTTAAAAACTCGGCTTAAATTATTTATAAATTTTTAAAAATAAAAATAATCTTATAATACAATAAAATATGTTTTCTCCATATTTTTTAAGAAAAAATTTAAAATAACGAGTAACGTTTTCCGTTACTGTTACTAAAAAAATGAAACGCATTACAGTTACTCGTTACCTCTAGAAGAAGGTAACGAATGGCGTTCCTTTTCTTCAAAATGGCAATGCCGTTAGTGACGACGTTACTTTACAGCACTAAGTTTATTACATTGAAATATTAATATATATTCACATTATTTTTGTAAGAAATTAATTTGACGCGGTAATCTGTATTATTATTTTGAAAATTTCATTTTAAATTATGTATTTGACATAGGATTATCAAGTATAATCACCACCCCCCACCCTTCCCATCCATCAATATAATAAAACTTATTTAATACCCAAGTAAAAAATGGCCGATTTTTATATCATTGATCCCTATTGTTTCAGCTAATGTAAAAGATAACGAGTTAAAATTTCGTGTTTGCTCTAATTATCACATATCATTTTCATAGAAAATTGAAAGGGGTCGGCCGAAAATCTTATTTAATTAATAGTAACCTTAAACATTTAATTATATATATGTTATATTGAGTTAGGCATAGTCATTTATTTTAATAAAACAACTCCGACTATATCTAGTATCTAAATCTATATATAAAATTCATTACTTTCATCAGAATAACCATTGCTTTTATAAGAAATTTTAACGTTGGGATGTAAAAATCGAAGAAATGGAATAATAGTCATACTTCTTAACTGACCTTGAAGAGTTTGAGGAATGTTAACTTTTTGTCCTTTATACAAGGGTTCTCTATGAAACCAACTTATAAGAAAATATACAAATATAATAAATAAAGAAGTTTGTAATTAAATTCAAAAAAATAAATATTCAATTCAGATTTTGAAATGATCTTCAAAATAAAAATCTTCAAAAATATTTTTAAATGAAGATTTTTTTGAAAATACTCAAATAAGGATTTTCTAACTTATGTTCCCTGTAAAATCTTTTATGTAAAAAAAATCATTTACAAGTAATTCTTTTGAATGCATAAAAAAATCTTTCATGATGAAATCACAAATTTTTAAAAAAATATTTTTATCTACTCATAAAAAATAATCCTTAATTTTGTGATCCTCAAAAAATTTTTTCTCAAAATTTTGAGCGAAAACAATTTTCAAAAATCCTTGAAGATTTTATTAAAACACTATTGAATTTAATGTAGTCAGTTCGCTAAATAAATTTTATAAAAATTTATACAGACAATAAAGTTTTTATCCAAATTGATAATGTAATGCATTTACTTGTTACTTTTTTATTTATCAGCCTTTTATTTTATTACATCTTATGATTTGCACATTTTACCTTTCTTCCCATTTAAAAATATCGAAAAATTTATATATAAAATTAATGAAAATTAAGAGGTCAATATTTATTATCAGGTATTATATTATTTACAAGGTAGAGTTGGCAAAAATCGATTAAAAAATTTTTAAATGGAGATTTTCCAAGTATTTTTTAAATAGTTCAATTAGACATTTTAAACAATAAAAAAGATATATGATATCTCAATGAAATATTTATATAAAAAAATATCATTAAATATAGTGGGTAAAATTGATTAATCAAGTCAATTTTGTTTTGATATAAAATCCGCTATAAATTTATATCTTAACATTTGTAATATCTGTAATGAAATCGATAGAGAGATGAAGCATGACAAATTATTATATCCGTACACCAAAATCTTATTAATGGTAAAGGTCCTAACTAGATTCGAACCATTCAAAAATAATGCTTTCAAATGATATTAAATAAAGTGAGCCCATTTGAAAGATGGCTGTCATCCTCGCAGGATAATCTAAATCAGGATAGAAATATTTGTTACTATAATATTTATAATCAGTTTCTGTAAAATGAGTATTTATTCTTTTGGAGTCGTTTGCGTTGGGAATCATGGGAACCGAAACTAATTTAATTCAAATATCAAACCACAAATATTTACTTTTAAATTTATTATCATTTGGATATTATATTAATAATAAACTGTCATTACATTTTTTTAAACTTTCCAAATAAAAAATAGTTATTGGCTAGAAATTATCATTTAAATTTTATAATATCTTTAATCAGAATATTATAAATATTAATTTGTTTTTATTTATTTTAATTAGAATTTTCACTTACATAATTTACAAGTCAAAATTTGAAATAAAAATGAACTCAAAGTCAATTATAAAAAGTCTAAATATTGATTATTTTGATTTAATTGGAAAATAAAATAGCTACAAGTATTGATTTATATCATTCATTTTATTAGATTAAATCTCCCAACCCTATTTACCAAAAATAATTTTGGTAAGTTACGAATCAGCTATACCTAGTTTAGGTGAATCAAGCAAAAAACTGTGTTGTATTCACATAATGTAAATTTTTTTTCAGCTGTACTAACTTTGAAAGAGCTATTTTGATTATTATTAATATTACATACAAAAGAAATTGTAAAAAGATGACTTTTTTATATATTCAGAAAATTATCAGAGGCGAGACTCTAAAATTGAAATAATATATTTGATATTTTTAAATAATAATAAGTAAAATTTCCATAATTAAATGGATTTTTCCATACTTCTATCGTTAAAGTTGCCAACTCTATTAGAAATATATCAATAAATATTCTTTAAAAATTATTAATCAAAATTACTCATGGGTGGTTATTTGTTTTAAATCGAATCTTTTGTCCACATCTTTTTCAAGCATGCCTAAAATTATTTAAATAATTTATATATATCGAATACGAAAAATATATTATCTGACAAATAATTTTTTGATCGAATTATTCGAAATAATTTGTAATTATTAATAAATAATTGAAATTGTAAATATTTAAAATTATTCAACATGTTCCTTGATTGAGGAACTTTTTATATTTTTTTCCAAATTACCGAAACTATAACAAAATAAATGAGATGGAATCTAGAGAGAAGTTCCATAATCAAAGAGTTTGGCCGCCCGTACATTATACAAGTGCAGTACAAGCTAAACTAAAACCGTTGACAAAATTAAATCCTAACGCATTGAATAGTGTAAAAAATTCGTATTCTGGAGGACTACAAGCTTACAACTCTAAAGCTATGAGGGTGAAATTGCAAGTGGTCAAGACTACGAAATTTAATGAAAAGATAGAAATGAATAATGGTATGCAGATTACCAAAGGAGTAAAAGATATGGAGTTAGAAGAAAATATTATGTTGAAAGATGATGATAAATTTACGTAAATTAATATATATATTTTTTGTATTATTACATGTCTTTGGCCTTTTTAGGGGCAGACATGTTGTATTTAGTAATTACAATATATAGTTATCATGTTTAAAATTATACCTACTGTCAATCAATAATATTATTGATTAAAAATATTGATATATTTTATATTATTTTATTGTATTTATCGCGGAGGGATATATTTTTAAAGGAAAGAAAAAATTGATTTCGCCATTAGAAAAAATTATTGTGAAAATTGAGGGATTAATTTTAATTATTGTGAAAAGAAAGAAAATTTATTAGATTCATTATTTTAATTGATATTTGATGAAAAAATTATGAATTGAATGATATTAAAATATTTCTCATGTATATTAGAAAATTGTTTCTCTTAACATTTTTCAATATTTAATATAACTCAATATTTAATATATTTTTACAATTTACACTTCAAATTTATATTTCTTCTTTATTTAATAATTTTATCATTCAATTCATAATTTTTTCATCAAATATCAATTAAAATAATGAATCCAATAAATTTTCTTTCTTTTCACAATAATTAAAATTAATCCCTCAATTTTCACAATAATTTTTTCTAATGGCGAAATCAATTTTTTCTTAAAAATATATGCCTCCGCGATAAATACAATAAAATAATATAAAATATATCAATATTTTTAATCAATAATATTATTGATTGACAGTAGGTATAATTTTAAACATATAACTATATATTGTAATTACTAAATACAAAACAAATCTATAAATCTTTTTTTTAAAATTTTGTTACATAATATGTACGATATTAATTTTTATTTTTATTATTACTCATTTTATATTACTTTTAAATTGATAATATGATTTGCAGCTATGTTTTATGTCGTAATTGATTTAATAGTCCTTATAGTCCCCTACTTAATGATATAATTTTCCAATATATATAGTCCTCTATTTTATAAATTTATTATCAATATATTTGTATACTTTTTCCGATATATAATATATAAAGTCTAATATATATTTTTTCCCAATATATATATCGCCATCCTAGTTCCCTATCTTATTAACATAATGATATACTCTTCACTATATATATATAAAGTCCAATGTAATTGTTTTTAATATATATGTATATATAGTCCTTCTAGTCCCCTACTTAATCAACTTAATGATATAATTTTCCAAATTTATATAATTCTCTATTTTTAAAAATTAAAATACAACAAGATAATGTTACCATGATACATTATATCCTTTAGTAGTATTAAATTAAAATACCTTGTTAATATTGATACAACAATATTTTCCTCTCTCTATAATTCTCTTTATAGTTCCCTACTTTATTTTTTTTTCTACTTTCTCAAAGATTGATAAAATATCCATATTGTTTGAACTTATTGATTGTATTTATTATCCTTACTTAAGATATCTTTCGCTTGCCAAGCGAGTTCTTTCCCTAATTTCCCCAGTTTTTATGATTGTCTCTCAAAATTGATTCCCATTATCATTTTTCCCCCGATACTAATTTTTTTTTTAATTTTTAAAAATTCAATTTTTTATTAATCATATACAAATATGATAAAATATTATTATTAAAAAATTAACATAATAAAATATGTCATTATATAAGTTTTAGTTAAAAAAAAAGATTGATGTATATTTTAATAAAAAGAAAAAACATTATAAAAAAAATATCAAGGGGCGAGGTCTGGCCATGATGTTTTAAATATTTGATAATAAATCTAATTATAGATACGGCGATTTTCTGCTTGAGTTTATAAAATGGAGAAAGGTATGATTTTTTTATTGATGTGGATATTATTTTGAAGAGATCTAATGCCGCTTGTCCAAATGTGCAGGTTGATGTAGCTGCTATGGGAACAAAGTGGTTGTCACACATAAGGTGTGAGTATTTTATATTTTTTAGAGATTCGGCTCTGTTAAGGGGATCATGCGATTTATTAGTTGGGGCCATGGGATCAATGCAGGTAAAATCCCACATTAAAGGCTTTCCCATTAAAAAAGGTAAGATTGTTTTACCGTCAGGGCGTTTTTTATCTAAAAAAGATGTCGGTTCTAAAATACAGGGATATTAGCTTTAAAAGAAGCTATTATTGTATTAATTTTATCATGTCGGCTGATTTTTGATATAAATTTACAGTGGAGAGCGTGTCTCCCATACGCGTCTGCCGATTGATTGCATTTAATGCAAATATAATGGTTTAGGAAAGGTACGCCCAAGCGTAAATTGATTGCATAATGAAAAGCGTCGTTATCTATTAGCTGGTTATTTAAAATGCTGGGATATGAATCTAACCATTCATGGCCAGAGTTGTTGAAATTAAGTGATCTTAGGAGGAATTTATATTGGTGATCATCGCTCAAGTTGAGGTAAGCTAAGGAACGAGATACCAATCCTTGATCCCACTTTTTGTTTCGTTGAATCTGGTGTGGCTGTGTTTGGTAAGACATTAATATTCCAACAACGTAAGACTTCGTCTAATAAATTATCTTTATCGATGGTAATAATTTGCGAGTATTTTAGTATAAAAGGTAAAAATATCGTGTTATTGGTAAGTTAGCGACAAAATTTTATTCATAATCCATAAATTGTATAGCGCCGTCATTTATTTCACACAAATGAAATATCAATTTTTGGTATATACCGAAAAAGCCGATAGTGTCGCCAGGGTTTTCAAATAGTATATATATTTATAAAAGGTGTCTAAATAATTTGAAACATTATTGCTTAAAAACATGTGTAAAGCCGTAAACCAAAAGTTAAAGACTCAAATTGGAGCAACATTTTTTTTCTTCCGATAGACCTTTAGAGATTTTTTAAAATTTTTAATATGATTATTTTTTTTTATTTTCACTATAAAGTTTTTGAGATATAAGGATTTTTAAAATTTCAGATTCGAAAGTAGCTACCTTTCATATATTTGAGGCCTTGTATTTTAAAAACCAGGTGTATTAGCGAGCTAAAATAAACGGCTTTCTCATTTTTTTACCTATTTAAGAAAATGTGTTTTTTTTGATCGATTTGACATGGAATAGCCAGAACAAAAACACGTCGACCAACTAAGAACAAGAACGGATCATTCGAGTTCAAATTTATAATGACCAAATAAAGTTACACAAGAAACAATTCAACCAAAGAGTTCTGAACATCAACGTTGGAACAGAAAAACCAAAAAGATTAATCGATGAACTTGGGGGAAAATAAGATATGTTATTATATATCGAGATAATTTAATATTATAAAGGGAATTTAATATAAATTATAAAGGGAATTTAATATAAATTATAGAGGTCATTTAAATTGAATAATTATTTTATTAATATACTTGTTACAAATATAGCGAATTTACATATGAATGCGTTCGTATGTTTGACCTTATATGTGAACACGTTCCTATTTTAACTAATGCATTCATGTTTTAAGTTTGTTCGATTTTAAAAAATTTATTTTTTTTCATTTGTATATAAAAAATAATATTTTATCGAATTTTTAACATAGCCCAAATATAATTAATACTTGAAATATTTATTCATTGGGTCGGTAATCGGTCAAATTACAATATTTTTGGAATAATGCTTAACAAATAGATAGTGCAGTAAAGTAACGTCAAAAAAGTAACGCCATTTGTTACCTTCTTCTAGAGGTAATGAATAACGGTAACAACGCGTTTCTTTTTTTGTGATAACGCAAAACGTTACTTTGAATTTTCTCTTATAAATATTAAAAAAAGAAAAACTGTACTATAAAATTACTTTTATTTATTTTTTAATACAAATAAATTTAAAACCAGTTTTTTAATTCATATCAACCACCATTCCTCCATTTTTATATTAAATTCTCGTTGTTAAATTTTCAGTCTAATGTTAATCTAATTAATATTCAATTAAAATTAAAACTTAAATGTTAATAATATTATTATTCTATTTTATAATTTTTTTAAGAATATTATGTCCATAGTTTTTAGTTCTTATGATGAAGATGATTTAACCTTTCCCTGGGCCTAATTTGAAATATATTTTACACCAATAAAGAAAATTAAGGGTACAAAGTCTACATTTTGTAAATATAAATTATGTCCCAACACAAATATTTCAACCTCAATATCCAGCAATTCAAACATGAAGGTAAAATGATGAATTAATATATTATTTTAAACATTACTTTAATAATAAAATATTAAATCATGGGTATTATAAAATAACCATTAAAAGTTTGAAAAATGTAATCATGAAATTAAAACCTAAGCAATTAAATTATACTATAGTATAAGGTTGGGAAACACCATTAAAAACTGAAGATTAACAAAATATTGGTATTGGTGCAAAATATAATATTGGGTTTAAACAATATCTTCTATTTCTTTTTAGTATTGCTATTAGTTTAACTTCAAATTGTTAATCAATTTAATTTAAGAATAAAATAGTGAATTTAAAATACTTTGTTCAAATAAATATGTATAAGAATATATATATG